CACCCATCAAAAAGTTTTAACGGGTTAACAATAAATCTGGTAGGCATATATTATCAGAGTTTTATATAATGAGGTCATCTGATCCACATTTTGAAGCACGTGGGTCTGTCATGGGGCGATAATATGAAAGTATAACAGTTTCCAATCAGGAAGAACAAATTAGCATGCACACGTACGCACACATATATGTATATGTTTAAAAGGTGAAGATTACATAAAAGGAATTCTAGATATGAAAACCCCCCTTTTTTCTGCAATACAAGAAACCCATCTTTCAGAAACTCGAATGGGCAAAATCTTACCCACCAAAAAGAAGAAAAAGTAGAAGACCTAAACAGCCGAGATTCTCCCGGCAGGGTTGCTTTCATTGCTATTGCCATTGCCAGCACCCATCTCCACACATTTCTCATCACTTGCTTTCTCTGCCGCAGATTGATTCTTGTGGTATATGAAATACAATATGAGCTGCGCTGTCCCCAGTGCACACCCAAACCCATTTGGAATCTGTTTGACCCAGTTTTAGATTATTAAAAACAAATGAAACCCACTATTACCCATTCACGAATTACCAAAACTACTACTACTTACAGCAACAAAAGGGTCACGACCAAGAAGACCGTACACAAACCAGGAAGTACCACACAAGAACACAAACAGTGATAAGAAGAAAGGCATGAACTCCACGCTCTTTGTTCTAATCACCAACCTCTGCACCACATAATAACCAACCATCAAATCAACTCTACCTAATCTTACATTTCCTTAAATTCTTTTCAAAAAAAAAAAAAGGGGGGGGGGGGCTTACCATAATTGACAGAGGAGACGCGTACATGATAATGGAGAAAATGGTGGCAGCAAGGCCACAAAAGAGCTTTCTGGTGGTGCCATGAAGGGCAAGCAAAGACACCAAAGCCACAGTGGAGAAGACAGAAAGCACGAGCACCAGAAGCCCAAATATCTTAGCCTTCTCCTTCTTCGGAGCAAATATCAGAAACAACAAGACATAAATCCCTTCTATCACTGCTCCTGTCCCATTTATCGTTGATACTAAAAGGTTGTTTTTCGACACAAATGGAAGACCATACCTGTTCAAGATTACTCTAATTTACAATACACGTACACCCACCATGGGAAAAAGACTTGAATGAAACATATGCATATATAATTATGAATCAAGAGAAGTTACCAAGCAGAAAGGAGGCAGTTGAGCAAAGTCATTACGTAAGGAATGCCAGAAAACTGCTCTGTCGACCTACTCTTTATGATCCTCTTGAATGTGATCCTATTATAAAAAATTTAAGGGGATTGATTAATTAAGTACCAATTTTTAGTAAATAAATAAAAATGAAATGCAGCATGCGTACGTTGGAGCCAAGAAGAGGAACAAAGCAGTTGCATTTCCTGCAACAAACAGAGGGAGAAAGAAAAGTTAGAAAGTAGAAGAAAGAGATAGAACAAGTGAAGAGATGAATGAATGAATGAATCCTCCATTAACTCACCAAAAATACCAAACAAGAAATGTGCAATGTCCATTATCTTTCTTCTTCTTCTTCTTCTTCTTCTTTAGGAAAATACCACTTTAAAACACAACTCTGCATAGGCAAGAGGCGGTTTATGTATATCATATATAATGGTACAGTATATATAGACATTTATACATATATACGTAAAGAAAAAGAGAGTGGTGATAACTGCCAATCCATCCGCGGTAAAAAAAAAAAAAAACTTAAATTCAGATTTTGTTCTTATCCTCACAAAGAAAGAATTGTCTACTTCTCTCTGGTGCCAACAGGAATGGTGGTACTCGTACGAAAGTGACGTCGCATAGAGTAATAATTAATTGCTTCCTCCGAATTCTTTTATAAAAGTTTTATAAATAATAGTTGAAAAATAGAACATTTTAATGTCTTGAAAAATTATTTAAAAAATAAAAAAATAAAAAAAAAAAATAAAAAAAGAAGAAAAGAAAAAGCCAAAGCATGGGCGCTTCCATTGTTTGTTTACGTTTCCGTTTTGTCGGTAAGAAATTCATATAATTTTATTTAATTAAAATTTCAACGACCAACGAAATGAAAAGTGAAAAGATAATTACAAATTTACGAAAATCGACACGTGTCTCCAGAACCAGTGTCACGTGCCACGTATCATTCTCATTTCAAATCGATAACTATTGAAGCTACGTGGCATTCTCCAGCAACTTTTGTTTTTCTATATTCTGTCTGAATGTTATATCCTACGCACAAAATCAAAAACTTTTTTTATTTTTATTTTAGTATTTTATTTCTTAGTCATACTTTATTAGTTTAATTATAAATAAATATTTATTAGTTTAATTAATAATACAATAAAATATATATGTTATCAGTAAAATCATGCAACATTGGTTGCGACGCGATGTTTATTGTGTTGTCTCATAAATAATTTATTTTACCAATTTAATTTTTAAATAACAATAAAATATCACATTTAATGTATACGTACATATTACACAAGGAAATGTTATTAAAAATTTTAATTTCTAAAAACATTATTATTAACTGTCGTCCTTTTTTTTTTTTTTTTTAATTTTCTCAATAAAGTTGATCAACTTTTGTTTTTTAGTCATTGCGTGCCTATCACGTGACCTTCCGTTTTTTTCGCTCTTCTTTCTTAATTTGTTTTATTGTCTGAATAAAATTTCCACGTGCCCACGGCACATGTCACACAGTCGAGCATTAATCATGTGCTAAGGTCAATTCTTCTGCTAACACCCCCTTTAAATTATCTGTTGAGATTTTTTAATTAATTCAAAAAAAAAAATTATTATGTGTAATTCAATAATAATTTAAAATTAATATAAAAAGTTTAAAAACAATTTTAGTTTAATTTCATCGAAAAGAACGACGAATAAAATAAAATTATAAAAAAAAAAAAAAAGGAATACACGACTTCACCCCTAAATAAAATAAAATTAAACATATGCAATCATAATTTACCGACTTTAAAAATTATATAAATATGATTAAATTAAAAAAAAAACTGGGGTTGCAATTTGCAAAAAATGGGTAGTACAACTGTGGTTTAGGATTATGTTGTGTTATTTTGTGTGTAATTGGTTTTTAAGAAAAAGGTCACGAGAAATTTTAATTTCGTATTTTGTTTTAAAAAAGAAAGCTGCAATTTATTTTGTACTTAAAAGCAATTACATACCATTTTTTTTTTTTTTTTAGTAAATAAAAAGTTCAAAATTAAATGATGAGAAAACCGAGAAACGCATAGCAACCGTCCCAACACTCACTCACTGGTTTAATTTCTCTAGAAAACAATTTGAAATTCTCTTCCTTCTGTAGTTGCTAACAGAAAAATTAAATGCGAAAATTCAAATTTCACCAACCGGATAAGAGCCGACCGCCGCCGCAGCGTCTACTCTCTGTTTGCGACACTCCACCGCACCAACGACACTTTCAAGTCACCGCAATACACTTTGCTGCTGACGACCGATTTAGAGAGAAGAAGATGGGAGGGCGGAGGAGAAAGTAGAGTCGGGAATCAATGAGATGCGACTCCTCCCTCATTCATTCAACTTTACATACATTTATATGCAGAGAGAAAGAGAGAGAGAGAGAGGGAGGACATTCTCATTTTGCAGAAAGTAGATAAAGAAAAAAAAAAAAAAATTTGCCTAGGTAAATATTTGATTTTTTATTTATTTTAAATATGCTTTAAATACTTCATTTGTTTTTATCCAATATTTTATTTTGTACTCAATATATACCTCATACGTTAAGTGTGCGTACACTACTTTTTTATCACCATCTGTTTTATTATATAAAGAAACATATTAGGATACACAAATTATTAATTTTAAAAAAATAAATAAATACTTATAACAAATATGTACAGGTAATGCCACTTAAATAACTAAAATCATACTAATTAATATCCAACTTCACGTAATTATCATATATTAAAAAAATATTTATTTAATAATATCTAATTTATGATTTACCATTTTTCTTTTTTTTAAAAAAAAAAAAAAAAAAACAGAGAGTTTTTAGCTATTTAAACACGGTGAATTAAAATTAAAATTTCACACTATTTAATTCAAAGAATAAAAATGTATGATAAGTTGAAAAAGTTTAATTGGTTATTGTAATTCTAGAAACGATTTTGACTTGATAAACAACGAACATGTGCTAAAGCATTTTATATATGTCTAGAAAACCCACAATGTTTTTTTTTTTTTTTTGTACAAAGACCATATTATATATATATATATATATATATACACACACACACAAGCACGTGCCAATAAATCTTAATGTAGTTTGGTAAAAACAGTGGGTTCTTCTATGCAATTTATCCACACCCACAATCACAATTCACTTTTTAAATTTTTTAAAAAAAAAATTATCAAATTAATTACTCATTTATCTCATTTGTTACAATTTATTTCTTAATATATTTTTTTACTTACAATTTGATTCTTTATATTTAACATAAATATTTGACTTTAATTAATTTAATGAATTAACAATAATAAAATTATGTTATATATGATATTTTTATTAAATTATGATTATTAAAATTATTGTTGGTTTTTAATATATAGTTAAATTTTGGTAAATATAAGGATTATCTTGTTTTAGAAAGATTAAGGAAATTAATTAATTATGCCATATGTAGTTAGAGAGTGAGTTTGTACAATTTAGAGTTCCCGTGATATTTATTAACCACCAATTCAATTGATTAAACTATAATTTTTGAAATTACTGTTAATTTTTAATATCCATTTAGAGTTTACTGGCTATATAAAATCTTTTGTGTCGAAAATTAATAAGTACAATCTTTAATTACAACTATAATCATTAAAATTAGTGTAATATTTTTTTTTTGTAAATTAATTATATTTTTATAAGATAATTATTGAATTTATTATAAATATTTTGTCATTGTTGGTTTCTTCTCAGTTAGATAATAATTGAAATTATATAATTATTTATTTAAATTATATTTCTACATTTAAAAATTATTTTTAAGAGTAGGGCATGGCATTTTAAAATTATAATTCGAAAAAAAATAAAAAAATAACATAAATTATTGGTGGTTGTTAGTTTAATTATCTTCTGCTATCAATCCAAGAAGACACAAAACAGGGTCATGTCGCTTCAATTATTCCAATACTTTACCTATTCTTGCTTCTTTCGTACTTCTTAGGGCATAAATATGGTTCGATAGATATGGTTGCATATACATATATATATATATATATATGTAAATTATATATCTACAAAATCAATTAAAT